TCAAGGAAGAAAGCAGAGAATTACTGGCGGAATTTAAAAAATTGGAGAGGAGAGACAACGGTATAGAAACAGAGGTTACAAAACTTAAACAGATGTTAGAAGCTATGAATGAGACAGTACGAAGTAATCAAGATATGATGATGAACAAAGTTCGAGATTTAACAGAGAAGGAATCAGTTAAAATAAGAAATCAAACTTCAGTTTTCAAGGAAGAAAGCAGAAAATTATTGGCGGAAAACAGAATTATCAAACATCACCTGAAGATGCAAAATGAGACCCTGCATGAAGAAATTCAGCAGTTAAAGAACAAAGAATCGGATGTCAGAAATAAAAACCGAGAATTGTCAACAGAAAATCGTCTCTTTAGAGAACAGTTAAATGATGTGAAGAACACACAGAAAGATTTGAAAAGTTCCGTGAATGAGGGACGATTTAATGAAATAGAAAACTCCCTAAAGACATTTTCAATATCTATCAATGATACATTAGATGGTTTACTTGAGGAGCATAAAATTCTACACCTGCAGTTTATTAACGTCTCCTCCTCTTTATCTGCTGGTAAGTTTCCTTAAGTTTTAGTTTAAGTAACTATTCCTTTCACACTGTAATATGTATTTAAAAATGAAGTCAAACTCCTTAGCATTAACATTTATCTTACCATGATATTTTTTTCCAGATGAACCAAATTTATCATAACTTGTGCCATGAGATACATGTATATAAAATGTAGATACGGTTATATAGGGTTATTGAACTTATATTAGTGAATATTGGCACGAAATGGCTGTTCAAATGCACGAGCTTGCGGGTGCATTTGAAACGCCAACATGTGCCAATATCCACTAATATATTCCACATAATATTTAATAATTATTCCAACAAAAAACCCTAAAATTAACGATATTTTAGTATCGGTATTCAAATTAACGTCTGTCCTGTTAGCGTTCTATATCGCATCATTCCGATAACCCTACCGAGCGATATGATTTGCTTATTTAGGTTTTAATGGGTCTAATATGTACTATATTTTAATAAATAATTTCATTTTTGTGCGAAACATAAACACATATTACCTAGATGCCACTTCCTTTCTCTAATTTAGCTCTGAGAATTTGACCAGACGACTATTTTGTTTACAACGGGGCGTTCGATATTTTACGCTCGTGTTCGGAATGTTTCGGGCATACTCATATACGTAATACAAAGTTAGCGTTCAATAAAACATCAAGATATTGAACGCTAAAATTCTCTAGATTTTTGGTAGTATTTCATTAAAGACTGTTTATTAGCTATATAATAAAAAGTAATATACGTACTAGAATTTACTTCTTACACAATTTAACAAGCAACATTTTTGATACGTATACATGTATTTCCAAGGAAGCAGAAAATTACTGGCGGAAAACAGAATTATCAAACATCACCTGCTGATACAGAATGAGACCCTGCATGAAGAAATTCAGAAGTTAAAGAACAAAGAATCGGACGTCAAAAATAAAACCCGGGAATTGTCAACAGAAAATCGTCCCTTCAGAGAACAGGTAAATGATGTGAAGAACACGCTGAAAGATATGAAAAGTTTCGTGAATGAGGAACGATGTAATAAAATAGAAAACTCCCTAAAAACCTTTTCAATATCTATCAGTGATACATTAGATGGTTTACTTGAGGAGCATAAAATTCTACACCTGCAGTTTATTAATGTCTCCTCCTCTTTATCTGCTGGTAAGTTTTCTTAAGTTTTAGTTTAAGTAACTATTCCTTTCACACTGTAATATGTATTTAAAAATGAAGTCAAACTCGTTAGCATTTACATTTATCGTACCATGATATTTTTATTCCAGATGAACCAAATTTATCATAACTTGTGCCATGAGATACATGTATATAAAATGTAGATACGGTTATATAGGGTTATTGAACTTATATTAGTGAATATTGGCACGAGTTGGCTGTTCAAATGCACGAGCTTGCGGGTGCATTTGAAAAGCCAACAAATGTCAATATTCACTAATATATTCCATATAATATTTAATAATTATTCCAACAAAAAACCCTAAAATTAACGATATTTTAGTATCGGTATTCAAATTAACGTCTGTCCTGTTAGCGTTCAATATCGCATCATTCCGATGACCCTACCGAGCGATATGATTTGCTTATTTAGGTTTTAATGGGTCTAATATGTACTATATTTTAATAAATAATTTCATTTTTGTGCGAAAAATAAACGCATATTACCTAGATGCCACTTCCTTTCTCTAATTTAGCTCTGAGAATTTGACCAGACGACTATTTTGTTTACAACGGGGTGTTCGATATTTAACGCTCATGTTCGGAATGTTTCGGGCATACTTATATACGTAATACAAAGTTAGCGTTCAATAAAACATCAAGATATTGAACGCTAAAATTCTCTAGATTTTTGGTAGTATTTCATTAAATACTATTTATTAGCTATATAATAAAAAGTAATATACGTACTAGAATTTACTTCTTACACAATTTAACAAGCAACATTTTTGATACGTATACATGTATTTCCAAGGAAGCAGAAAATTACTGGCGGAAAACAGAATTATCAAACATCACCTGCTGATACAGAATGAGACCCTGCATGAAGAAATTCAGCAGTTAAAGAACAAAGAATCGGACGTCAGAAATAAAACCCGGGAATTGTCAACAGAAAATCGTCTCTTTAGAGAACAGTTAAATGATGTGAAGAACACGCTGAAAGATATGAAAAGTTTCGTGAATGAGGAACGATGTAATAAAATAGAAAACTCCCTAAAAACCTTTTCAATATCTATCAGTGATACATTAGATGGTTTACTTGAGGAGCATAAAATTCTACACCTGCAGTTTATTAATGTCTCCTCCTCTTTATCTGCTGGTAAGTTTTCTTAAGTTTTAGTTTAAGTAACTATTCCTTTCACACTGTAATATGTATTTAAAAATGAAGTCAAACTCGTTAGCATTTACATTTATCGTACCATGATATTTTTATTCCAGATGAACCAAATTTATCATAACTTGTGCCATGAGATACATGTATATAAAATGTAGATACGGTTATATAGGGTTATTGAACTTATATTAGTGAATATTGGCACGAGTTGGCTGTTCAAATGCACGAGCTTGCGGGTGCATTTGAAAAGCCAACAAATGTCAATATTCACTAATATATTCCATATAATATTTAATAATTATTCCAACAAAAAACCCTAAAATTAACGATATTTTAGTATCGGTATTCAAATTAACGTCTGTCCTGTTAGCGTTCAATATCGCATCATTCCGATGACCCTACCGAGCGATATGATTTGCTTATTTAGGTTTTAATGGGTCTAATATGTACTATATTTTAATAAATAATTTCATTTTTGTGCGAAAAATAAACGCATATTACCTAGATGCCACTTCCTTTCTCTAATTTAGCTCTGAGAATTTGACCAGACGACTATTTTGTTTACAACGGGGTGTTCGATATTTAACGCTCATGTTCGGAATGTTTCGGGCATACTTATATACGTAATACAAAGTTAGCGTTCAATAAAACATCAAGATATTGAACGCTAAAATTCTCTAGATTTTTGGTAGTATTTCATTAAATACTATTTATTAGCTATATAATAAAAAGTAATATACGTACTAGAATTTACTTCTTACACAATTTAACAAGCAACATTTTTGATACGTATACATGTATTTCCAAGGAAGCAGAAAATTACTGGCGGAAAACAGAATTATCAAACATCACCTGCTGATACAGAATGAGACCCTGCATGAAGAAATTCAGCAGTTAAAGAACAAAGAATCGGACGTCAGAAATAAAACCCGGGAATTGTCAACAGAAAATCGTCTCTTTAGAGAACAGTTAAATGATGTAAAGAACACACTGAAAGACATGAAAAGTTCCGTGTATGAGGGTCGATTGAATAAGATAGAAAATTCCCTTAAAACCTTTTCAATATCTATCTATGATACACTAGATGGTTTACTTGAGGAACATAAAATTCTAAACCTGCAGTTTATTAATGTCTCCTCCTCTTTATCTGCTGGTAAGTTTTCTTAAGTTTCAGTTTAAGTAACTATTCCTTTCACACTGTAATATGTATTTAAAAATGAAGTCAAACTCGTTAGCATTTACATTTATCGTACCATGATATTTTTATTCCAGATGAACCAAATTTATCATAACTTGTGCCATGAGATAATGTATATAAAATGTAGATACGGTAAAAAGTAATATACGTAAAAGAATTCCTTTTTTTACACAATTTTACAAGCAACATTTTTGATATGTATACTTGTATTTCCATTTTTCATATAAGTCCGTATTTTTGGACTGGTTGTTTTTGACATAAACTATAAAAAGAAAAGGTATGGTTATCAGATTAGTTTTTTTGTTGTGAAGAATTTTTAAAACTGACCGTTAATCAATTATTGAGTGAAATTCTGACCATTTTTCAATTACACACTATCTTAAAAATATACTACTTTTTATATATTTATCAGAGTTCTAACTTTTTCATTTTATCATACAAGTCAGTATACACTACAAACAAGATGTTGAATTCAGATATTGATTGAATATAAGAAAAAACACAAACAGAATATCATTTTTCAAATTATCATTTATCTAACCAAATGTACATTGTTTTCGCATAATTTATACAATTTACGCATTAAAAAGTCAATAAAAAAAGTTTGACGAATTTATTTTTTTTTAAATTCATACATATTGTACATTTAAGTATACTGATAATAATGATATAAAGAAAAATGGGGTCATCATATTCATTTAGTAAATAAAACAACATTTGCTAGCACGATGTTAGACGTTTTTCAATGTCAGAGGTTGTAAAATATGCATCAACATAAGAAAAACATACATTTTTTCTTAGATTTTGATTTCAATTACAAAAAAACCCCAATGCAACATATTACATCTGAAATTCCTCTTTAAGGGGTCCTGACCCTCTCCTCTAAATTTCACTATGGAAATTTTAAATTTCTAATATTGATTTTCATGAACACAACAATGACTTTAAAACCAAATACAAAACCTTATACAACGTGGTATAATGCAGGTTACATACAGGGTTTTGTTTTTCTTATTTACAAATTTACATTAGATCTATGATGAATTTGTGAAAAATTTAAAAAAAGAAGTTATCCTTCTTAGCAGAGGGATAATGTCCCTTAAATGCTGAAATTAAAAAACTACAGAAATATTATTTACTTTTCTAATTGGTATGGCCATATATACATTCAAATGTTTACAGCTATACAGAGCTTGTAAAACTAAGATGCAAAAAAACTATACATGTACAAATACAGCCAATTAAACGTCTAATGTCTATTGTTACATTCAGCTAAAATTTGTTTTGCCTTACTGTTTGTCTTCAAAATACTTATTTACTTTTTCAAGTAAACATTTTTTTGATGTTACTCGAGGTTTCCCATCGAATTTTTCAGACAAGAGTGTTTTTAAACCACCTCTGGTGTGAGCAAGTTTTAGATGACCTAAGTTTAATCCACTTTCAGCAATCTTTTTACACATTTGCTTTGAAAGTATCTTATCATTGCATAAAACTAACAAGGTGTTTAAGTTTTTATCTACAATTTTGTCAAAAAGGTACTTCTCAACCAAGGTATGCATACTTGAACTGTGGCGTACAAGAACTTCAGTGCACGGTTTTACATGTTGAACAAGTTTTTGAAGAACAAGAACATCATCCTCAGCATTGTGAGCTGCATAGTTTTCATTTAAAAAATATGTAACAAGAAACTCTTGTGAATATTTTTCCAGACCAGGATAAACTTCTCTAAACAGAAGTAGTGTGTCTACTACACCTAATACAACTGGTTCTAAAGCATGAAGAAAATGACAAATTTCAAAATTTAGTAAGACCCTAGGTAAATCAAACCTCAAGAAATTATGTCCTACAAAAATACAAGGCTTTTGATCATCTAACCATGCCAGAAATGATGCCAATGCAAGTTGCAATGAAACGGATGTTACAGGAGTACCATTCAAATGCAAAACATTTCCATGAACAGTCAGTCCAGTGACTTGAGAAGCTGCTGTTGAAATTCGTTGACTATGTAAGATGTATTTCGAAAACTTGCCATTTTCTGAAACAGCCGCAATCTGAATGATATCACACGTTTTATTAAGAGATGTTGTTTCGATGTCACAATACACAAAGGTATATTTCTTTGGTAATATACATGGAGTGACAGTTGGTACAATGCTTGGAGCAGGTATTTCTTTGACAAACTCGCCGTCAGATTGTGTCAAATCAACAGATGACTGATAAGTTACTCCTTCCCGAATTTGAGAAGCGGAATTCATGGTACTGTTTTTTAATTTTCTTTCAAGTTTTCTTTTTTTGAATTCTCTTGTATTTTCATACGCGAGTCTGCGTTTGCGCGTTTTGTCTTTTTTTTCTGCAAGTTTTTGAAAAACTCGTCCAGGCGAAACACCCACCAGTTCGTTAACTTTGTTGACGTATGTTGAGCCCATGTTTTTCTCTGCTACTGCACAACTAACTCTATTTTGCAAACTAGATGATGAAGAATAGTGCAGTCTTTTGGGGGCTTTTGCAGCAATTGAATTATTGAATGATTCAACATCTCTAGTAGATGCAGCAGGGGAAATCTTGTGAGCATTATTGATAAATGTTTCAAATATAATGTTCAGGTCATTTTTTAATTCATCACCCTGTAGATCTTTTCCAGATGGAAGGGACTTGTGGCGGAACTCTTCAGGATTAGTTTTATAAGTACACCATTTTGAGTCACACTGGTCATGCTCTCCAAAAGCATGTGGCACTATTTGCTTTAGGTTTTTCTTTAATGCTTCTGTATCATTTTTATTTTGTACAATAGCGTAAGAGAAGCATTTTTGAAAATACTTGACACAATTGTTGTTGAAATTCTTGTGTTTCTTTTGTAGTTGGTATAAACTGTTACCAAGATGCTTTTTAGTGTGACTAATGTCACTCCATTTGATCACCGGATGTGGAATTTCTTCATTGATTCGTGCCATTGTTGTGCAGTCGTCATCCATAACTAACACTGATACTTCAACATTTTCTTTTTCAATTTTGTTCACTAATTCAACTGCAACGTTACTCTCCATTGCTTTTGACGAGCCCTCCCAATTTTTACAGCACTTATGTTCTGGAGGAGTTTTCCCCATATTTGTATGAAAGGAACATTTGCGACAATCCTTTGATCGAACACCAAAGCCACATATTTTCCCGGACTTGTTGCCGATTAATGTTCCCACTCCAGATTTACTGTTATAGGCCCTTCCTGACCCACGCTTCTGCCATCCCATGTCGTACTTAAACTCCCCAGAGCTGCGAGCCTGCTGACCGTCATTGGATTCATTTACACTGGAAACAAGAAAACTCATTTTAAGACTCGTAAGAAATAATGTATACCGGTATATATTTTATAGCAAAAGTATAAGAGTGAGTCATCAATTATTCATATCAGCACTTCCTTTTTTTTTTATAAATTGTGCTTATCCTAGCTCACTTTAGCATGTAATCAAATCTGGCCTAAGGGTTATATATAAACCAGCCCCAATTTGGACCTATCAGTGTGAAGTTGATCTTTGACCTACAGAACTTGAAACAGTATGGAAACCTGTCATTTCAGTGTGTTATAGAGGATGGAGATGATGGACACTTTGGCATAACATGATCTTTTGGGTATATAAAAACCATATAGCATGTACCTTCTTGCTGATACATTGCCCTGTATTTCCTCCAATAAGGCCTCACTGCATGACTGCTGGGCAACAGATTGGATATGTGGCTCCACTTCACACTCACGGGCTTTCATAGTTCTATGGTGCATACCCTCTATCTCTATGGAAGACATAAAGTTGGTGACCTGTGTGTGCCCGGATCCACTATGAAGCATACCTGTATAATAATTTAAGGTCACTTTATATATATCTAATCGTATGTCAGTCTAATAACAACACATATGAAGAATGTTAAAAAATCAAAAACAACAAATTACTGGTAGAAATTATGGCTGATAATGATATAAAGGAATATTAAAGTTTTCTTATGATAGGAAAGCAATTACATATTTTCAAATCAAACAATTAAATTCAATATAGCTTTTAAATAATTGTTTCTATCAAAGCTACATTTATAAAAGTGATAAAAGAGTCATTATTCTAATCTAGTAGGCAAGCTGTTAGAAATATATCAATGAAATATAGGTTTTACATGTAGCACAGAAGGAGTGCAAAGGGTTACAAAATTGTTAGTACCAAGCACCACAAAAGGAGGGTATAAAGCGTGACATTCTTGTCTAAGTAGCTATTACCCAGTATACCGGTAATTTTACAACAGATAGATGTATGGTTAGCACTACTATAAATAGTGGTAGAACTACTACAAGCTTACGGTTTTACTTACTTCAGCTGCAATAAGGTACATACAAGAAAAAGGTAAAACAGAATAATAAATAAACAAGTAAATTCTTCTTAGCAAGATAAAGTTTGCCCATATTTTCAGTTGCTAATCATGACAGTGCCCCACCCTCTACTATAATGATCAATTGTTGCTAAATGTCTGTCAATCAACGTATTCAATTTTATCACATAAAATTTTTATTGTTATTTTTATATTTAAATATTGACTATAATGGTATATAAACTATCAATACCTAAAGCTGCCTTTGTGTTTATGTCAAACACAGCAGGTCCGCGTTTATTAACTCTGTGTGACTTGCCAGTTGTTACTTCATTCAGAACACCGCACTCACAGGTAATAGTCAGGTTTGAAGCAAACCCTTGACGCCTTTCATTTACGATGTTATTTAAAGTCAGTGTGTGCCCACAATCCCAACAGTTCATTTGTTTCGCCATATGATCCAACTCAACGATTCGCCTCCCTTTTCTCCATGATTCATCATTCGATTCACATGTGTGCCCTTCTGTTTGTGCAACATTTTGAGTCCTGAAAGTAAACAACAACCTAGTCTTAGTAATAAAATTTATAAATTTATAAATCAATATTTGTATAAATACCCAAGTTGTGTTTTGTTTACTGCTGAATATCAAAAACATAAGCTTTATATTTAGTCTGCAAGTTCGACCCAGATGCAAATTTTGAACCAGGTCTGCGAATTACTGTGATTAGTAATCTAATTCACATACTGTCAAATGTCAATAGCTACTCAATAGCCTCATTTTGTAAGACAAAAGATCAAATGCATCACTGTTGCTGATAAAAACGCTGATAAAGTAATCGATATGAAAGGACAAAAAATGTGTAATTATTATATCAATGTATACTTACACAGTAGCCTCACGTATCTTCATCATGTTTAATCTTCTATTCATTGTACCCTTTTTCACAAATCTCCCCCCAACTCGATCGCGATCAGTCATTTTCAACATGTTTCGACCGCTTGACAGACGATGTCAGATCTCTACGGCGCCATCTTTGTGTGTCCTGGTAAAATGAGGCACCTTTTTACAACCGGGCACATTTTATTTTTTTTCAAATTTCTTACAAAATACCTATATAATTGAACTGAAATTTTCAGATAAATTAAAATTTTATTATCTTATTCTTTTTTTATAAAAACAAAGAAAATGATATGCCTTTCATAAATTATAATTGTCCTTTGGCCCGGCCAGCATTTGCCACCTGATTTTACCAACATTCCTTCCCATTTTACCAGACTCCTTCGATTGAAGAGCTTCGATTGCGCAGAAAGATGCGCACAAAAAAATCCCGCAAACGTCTTTAAAGGATTTCTAAGATATACAATAAATTGTACAGTCGTTTGTTGAATGAGTTCGACTGAGACAACCATTTTCCGTCACAAGTGACCTACATAGTGACGTCATTTTCATATTGTGACATCACAAACAAGGAGAAAACTTTATTCAGCATATGCTATTTATAGACCTTGTGTATGGCCATGTGTGTTCCGAATTTCATTGTAATCTGAATTGTGGTTTTGTAGATATAGAGACAGTTCGCGAACTTTTTGATCAATCCTCGTATGTAAGTTTGTGTGGGTATACGTCTGTTTATATGTAAGTATGTGTGAATACGTGTATGTTTATTTCTAAATATAAATGTATGTTTTATGTGAAGTTAGTTTATATGCATTTATGTTTATTTGTAAGGTTTTCTCTGTATGCATGTATGATTATCTAAGTTAATTTTAAAGCAAAATAAAATAAAGGCCGGTAAGCTATTAGCAGAAGATAAATTAACGATTTCTACCATATTTATAGGTTATGCAGAAGAGAGTAGACGGATCAACTCATTTCTATCGAACTTGGGAAGATTATAGAAAAGGTTTCGGGGATCCAAAGAACAACTATTGGATTGGTAAGAATACATATATACACTGTACTTTGAAATACAACAAAATATTGTTTATATTTAACCTACCTGCTTGTAGTTGAGGGAAACATAGAAAATTTTGACCCTATTAAACCAATTGTCAACCGAAAACGACCCGAGGTTAACGGTGACTTTCGAGGGATGGAAATTTACATTGTTGCAATCTCCATTGAAAATTGTAATATTTAAAATAAAATTAAAGAAGGAATAACTGCAACCAAACAGTCACCCAGCAATGACAAAAACAACTTGTTTCGTAAATAAATTAACTACATGGTAATCATGGAAATTTCTTATGTAATTGGTCAGAAAAACGCTTTTGTCAGCAAATATCATTCTCACAAGTTGGTTCTCTACTGTCTTAGGTACTCTACTCTCTTTGGTACTCTGCTCTCTTTGATACTCTACTCTCTTTGATACTCTGCACTCTTTGGTACTCTACTCTCTTTGGTACTCTACTCTTTTTGGTACTCTACTCTCTTTGGTACTCTACTGTATTTGGTACTGTAATATTTTTGGTACTTTACTCTCTTTTGTACTCTACTAATTTGGTACTCTACCCTCTTAGGTACACTATTCTCTCTTTGAACACCTGGCTTTTTGTACGACAGTCTTGCACATGCATACAAAGTAGCAGTGAATTTAATTTATGCATTAACAAATATATAGAAAATTCTTTTTTTTTTTAAATGCAAATACAAAATGTGGACACAACACGAAATTCAAGATTCAAGTATGTTCTAGAAAAAATAACCATACACCTTAGTTTAAAATATATTTTATTCATAGAAATGGATTGAACAGCAGGCATAAATGCCTATGATCGTTCTCTCCATACACCTTGACCACTCTTGAATGTTCCAGAAGTTTCTTTCTGTTACTTAATATAGACATGACTAACAAACATTTTTAAATTATCAGACACCTCACAACACTTTGTCGAAATGAAAACTTAGAAGATTTAATCAACATTGATTTTATATTGCTTTGATTTACAAAACAAGTTATTGTAAAATGGTCCCACTACTTCAAGATGTTATATTGCTTTTAGCATAATCTCTCCAAAAAATAGGAATGTCCTACTCTAACTGTTTTGTATAACTTTTTCTGTGGATATCAATGAAGGATTTGGAGATAACGACCAATATTCAAACAAACAATATTCAAAGTCGATCCATAAAACAACACAAAATAGTAACAGAGCAAACACGGACCTCCAAAACATCAGAGGTGGGATCAGGTGCCATGGAGGAGTGAGCATCCCCTGCTGACCAGTCACACCCGCCGTGTGCTTCTTTGTTATGATCAGGAAATAACGCAAAAACCCGTTATCAATTTTGTGAATAAATAGTGGTCTAACAATAAGTATAAAAAACGTCAATCAGCATTTGACTCAATGATAAATTGTATTTGCGGACAAGTTCACAGAACTTACGAAAAAATGACTTTAAACGAGACTGCTGATATTCTTGTTTCATCAACTTGTTTGTCAATAATTTACCTCGTTTTAGAAATTGTTTATACGTAGAGCATGCTCTTGCGTATTGAATCAACTGTAATATATAAACACCTTATGCAGGTGATGAAGGTATATATTGCTACATAAGTTAGGGAAGTTCACAATAGAAAAGTTAAAATCATCACCTTTATCATAGAGCTTGGTTGTTAGATAACCATGTGTAATTTTTTTTAAATACATTATTTAAAACAATTAGGATAAAATCATATTCTAAGCAATAGTCATAAACATTAATTTCAATGTTCTTTTTCAAATTGTCATAAAGGGAATGACGCAATTCATGTATTAACAAAAGATCAGGACCAGGAACTGCGAGTAGATCTCCATGGATTTAACGGGGACACGGCGTATGCTGCATATGCAACATTTTATATCGGAAACGAGGCTGATAAATACCGACTCACAGTATCCGGGTACACGGGAACTGCAGGTAAAAGTATTCATTGACATAACCTTGATACAGTCCCTGAAACATTCTACTTTCCCACCTGAACGGTGAACGAACGCTGAACAAACGCTGAACGAACGCAGAGCGAACGGTGAGTGATCGATTTGTGAACGCTGAACGCAACTTGATGAACGATGTGTGAACGGTGAACGGTGAGTGAACGCAGAACACGAACGGAGCGCGAACGCGAGCGCAAAGTTAACGGTGAACGAACGGTAAACGAAAGATGAACGATTTATTCGGAATGCCTCCGATCTTTTCCTTGAACTGAAATTATTCTATTATTCTATAATTCTAATTTCAGGTGCTAAAACATAAAAAAAACAATAGATAAATAAATAATAAAAAACATTTTCTTCTGCACATACATATGTTTTAAATCGTTATTTTAATAACACAATTTTAATTGCCGTAAAACATGTTTATTTGTTACTGAACGCGTGTAGCATAAATATAAAATCAATCTTCGTATATAGTAAATATGCTTATTCTTTTAACTAATAAAATAATGTGGACTGTAGAAGATAAAACTACTACTTATAGAATGAATAAATTACAGTGTACCCGGATGAAACAACCATATATGTAGTTCCGTGCCAAGGCGATTCTGAGTAAAATAACGGATTTTTTTAAATTTACAAATGTCTATTGACGTATTGCATAAATACACTCGTATTTTAAAATTCTAATGCAAAATATTAAAAATTTAAGTATAATTTTTATTCTTTTATGATGATTATTTTACCTAACTTCTACATGTATCTGTAGATATTTCCCGACCTTGATTATGCTCGAACAAGATGATGGAAAGAGGCAATCAAATTATTTGTAATAGATTAAATTTTCAAAACTAAACAAGTAATGTGCTGTCATAAATTTTATTGAACAGAAAAATGTACGAGAGAGAGAGGGAGAGAGAGAGAGATATACCCCCCTTCATTCTCAGATATCTGTTGTATCGAATAAAAATTCTTATTATTTTTCCTAAATATTCCAAGCAATAAAAGTAATCATTTTTTGATTAACAAATCCATTTGACAGTATTCATCGTCTTTTATTTTCCATCTTCAAGTTCACACGGTTCACAGGAAGTCCACGGTACTTGTCCTGTCAATCAAAATCATTCGACACAGTGGAGATGTGGAAATCTCGTTTTACCGAACATGCCGAAGGTAAAGAGTCACATAGTATTTCCAAGAAGTTTTAATATTTTTCCTATTAATTCAAGATCTGATTTTGGCATTTCTACAGAAAAAAATAAATAAATAATGGGAATATATACTTGGAAGGATTAAGTTTGAAACTGAATTTGAAACATATTCCCTGCCAATTAAAAATACTACTTTCGGCACATGTATATTTTGAAATACTGTTGTTTAATGACTGTTTCGATATTCGTTTTAAGACTGATTTTCTTGTGTTACAATACACATTAAATATTATTTAAAATATACTGAAAATACTAGCTAAGAATTTGATTTCGGCAGAAAAGGCGCGGGGGAGGCTCTTAATCAAACATATATTTAGGTACGGTGAAGGAAGGAATTTTCCCTCTCTGATAATAGACTTAACGTAAAGTAGAAAAAATTCTAATGTATTACATTTTAAACAGTTGGTCTTTTCTAAAATTTTAAATCACACTATTAATTTAATTAGCTCTAAAGATATTTAATTAACTGAATATCTGCAGTACTGTTCATAGCTCTCAGACCTGCATGTAGTTCTAATGTGTTTTCGTGCATTTTTTTAAAAATACGTGTTAGAAATATTCTTTTTTTTTGTGTATTCTTGTCTTGTAAAAGATTTGGATTATTATCCATCCATTAACGATTCGTCGTCTTTGACATTACAACAAAATGTTGCCGTACTTGAAGCATTTGTATATTGCCTTTATTCAAATTTAATATTTTAGCATCGTTCTACATACAGTCCCTGAAACGTTCTACTTTCCCATTTTTCCCTTCGTTCAGCGTTCGTTCACCGTTCAGCGTGCGTTCACCGTTCGCTCTCCGTTCACAGTATTGCGTTCACCGTTCACCGTGCGCTCGCGTTCACTTTCACAAAACGTTCACCGTTCGATCTTCGTTCCGTTTACTTTGCGTTCACTTTGCGTTCACCTTGTGTTCACCGTTCAGTTATCGTTCAGTCTTCATTGTCATTCGGAACCCCAAAGTCAAAGGACTTATCTTTTTGATGGTAAGGATTTTCACGTTTTTTAATTAAATAACATAGATATCGTGTTTGAAGAATAATTATTTCATTGCAAAAATTATCTATGACATTTATATTTCTATTATTATAACTCAGCTGTTACTTATTACATGAAATTTCCCTGGAAAATAATACATTACGTACATACTTGTATGTAGAACGATGCTAAAATATTAACTTAAAAAAAGGGCAATGTACAAATCCTTCACGGACGGCATCAATTTGTTGTAATTTTAAAGAAGACAAATTATTATTGGATGTATTATAATTAATCCAAGTCTTTTACAGGACAAGAATACATAAAAAAAATTATTTCTACAGTAACACGAATTTTAAACTACACATAGTTTTGAAAATATTAACAATACTGCAAATATTCAGTTAATTAGATATCTTTAGAGCTAATTAAATTCATAGTGTGATTTTAAATTTTAGAAAAGACCAACTGTTTAAAATCGTCTATTATTACAGACGGAAAATTCCTTCCTTCTCCGTACCTAAACATATGTTTAAATATATGTTTGCCATTCAGTATAATTAAAACACCCCCCCCCCCCTCGGTGCCTTTTCACGAAATAAAATTCGTAGTGAGTTTTTTTTTCAGTATATTTTATTTTATATTAAATGTATATTGTAACACAAGAAAATCAGTCTTAAAACCAACATCAAACAGTCATTAAACAATAGTATTTTAGAACTAGAGCAAAGCTCGTTGCAAAGCAACGAGTAGGTCTTCCGTCCTGTTTTGACCGGAACTGACGTCAACAAAAGAAAGCAATGAGCTAAGTCGTATCCAGTCACTTTTTAATTTCAGTTTTGCATCAAAACTTTAAAAAATAAGCTATTTTTGGCTACTTCCGGTTTGACCGGAATGATGTTGACGGACGGAACATTAAGTTTTATGCTTCCTGTGACATATGTTACCCAAAAACTTGTCAAGAACAGCAAATATATGCATTTTCTGACGACTTCCGGTTTGACCGGAAGCGAAGTCTCCGGACGAATTTTGACGACTTCAATAGATTAAGTTTGACATTTTGAACAACTTTGCTTCTTTGACGTATTACTAATTCTCAATACTTTTTGAGATATTTGGAAAAAACTTTTGGCCCTCTAGATCCCTCAATTTGGTGTCAGGTCATTTCTCTCTAAATTTTTTTCTCTCCCAGGTTATTTCTCTCTCCTACCATTTCACGGTAGGTTATTTCACGGTAGGTCATTTCTCTCTCCTACCTGGGTCATTTCACCCCATTTTTAATCTGATCTTATATAATTATTTACATTTCCATTCTTGTGTTATTAACTTTTGTCTCGTAAAATAAATTAATTTTATCAATTTATGACCAATAAAATTCAAACGAGAAAATGTGTCGTAATTTTATTTACAGGGGAAAATTTAATATTTGATATTAATGAAAATAAATTGATACCATTGTCCAGCCCTTGCTACGTGGAGGCCTCCTCTGTTAAGAGTAATAATTTTGAAAGAAAATTTTAAACTCAATTAAAATAAATTAATTTGTTAAAATAATTAAGTTTTACCATAGCCGATGGTGAAGTTTTGTCTATAATCTGAATATTATATAGATACTGATCAAACTCGAATCTTGGAAAAATGATACAAAAAGAATTGCTTTTATTGATTGATTTTGTTTGGCGATACAAATATTTTGGAATAAAAAAATAAAACAGTTTTAAATTATAATATGTCAATTTTGATCTTAGGAGAAAAAAGGGACATGACATAAAATAATAGCTGCAGAACTGTAGCTCGATCTCCGAAAAGAAATATATTGACAGACCGGTTCAATACATTTTCTTTTAGGAAAACTACAGTTCTGCAGCTAAAAAATAGATAATTTTTAGAAAACAAAGGATACTTCAAAATATATATTATGAAATCAGATACACAAGTAAAAGTATGTAAATATTTACCAATATTTATTTTGAATAATTGTATATTATAAAACTATAAATAATAAGAACGCGAAGAAAATAATGACGTAAAAATGCTATAGATATGAAAAAACCTAAAATGCAATATTTTCAAGGTACACAACATTAACAAAGTAGCCAAACCACATGAATTAATGGGAATGAAACAAAGGGAAAAAAATATCTCTTAAAAATGAATTATAAGACATCGAAAAGGATTTTATCCATGGCGTCCAGTTTTCATTGTTATACCAAAGATTATAAATTTTAAGTACAAACAAAAATATTCCAACTATAATTAACACAAACTTGAACTAGCTCTTTGAAAGGGCAAAGACATATGACTCGATGTCATGTTAGCTAGAATGATCTTTCGACTGATCAATACTTCCGTTTTCTTATCAAGGAGACATTCATGAGGTCTTTTACATGTATGCACATACATATTTACGCAAGAGAAAATAATGCAGAAAAATGTTTGTAACAATCGAGACATTTTAAATTAATAATCCATGCATCAGTACATCAATTTTACGTTCTTATAATAAACATGTAAATGTTGGGGGGGGGGGGGCTTCCACTGTTGAACCGAGAAAACGTGTAATTTGGGGAAAAATGAAATCTAAAAAGTTAAAATTTACTTGACTGTGAAAATGCATACATTTAGGATTAGTCATCTTGCCTAAAAATTGTGATCTCTAGGAAGTATTACAGTAAATGTAAATGAGTTTGTATTCAATGTAATAAAAAGTGGGAACAAAATTCTTCTTTATATAATAATCTGGTTGAACACATCTTTGTACAAGTTGACTAAAGGAGATATTGTATTTTCAATT